ATGGTATGAGTCTATAACTTTTGAATGAGCAAATATAAGGTAGAAACTTATAAGTCTTACTTAGTTCTTGTAAATCTCGCCTTTATGATGCGGGTTGATAACTTTTGAGTAAATGTCGTAACTTTTAATCTGATTTATTGTACATATTTGATTTCGTATATATTAAATAAATACTTTTTATGGTCAATCTTTCAGATTGAACCGTTTGTTCAGTACCAGAGCGCTGATTTATTCTGAGACGAAGAGATGATAGAGTAGTCCAAGGATATTGAACGTTCCAATCGACATGCTATTAGGGTTACCTTGATAAATTGACATACTTCACTTGTAAATTTAATCTGGAATAATCTTTCACAATAAAACTTTTCATCAGAGTTGTGATTTTTACATTTTTAAAACTCGCTGCGTATTTCTCGAAGTTTAACCATGTGAATTTCGAGAATATACATGCACAGAACTGAAAAAGAAAATGTTAATAGGAGTCGATATTGGATAATTGTATAGCAAAGAACTGACAGAAAACCTGCCACAAGCTTCAGTCTTCTCTAAAGTTTTCCGAACTTCTATTTCCTCCTTCATTTCACCCTTCAACTGTATTCCAATACTCTAGAGATGAAGGAGATACAGTACAGGGTGTCACAAGATAAATGATTGTTTATTTTGTATCCAATATTCTCTGTACCTGTATCCCCTCTTTCCCCCTATACCGCCATATACCTCCCTATACCCCCATATACCTCCTTATACCCCCATATACCTCCCTATACCCCCATATACCTCCCTATACCCCATGTACCTCCCTATATCCCCATATACCTCCCTATACCTCCATATACCTCCCTATATCCCCATATACCTCCTTATACCTTCATATACCTCCCTATACCTCCATTTACCTCCCTATATCCCCATATACCTCCCTATACCCCCATATACCTCCCTATACCCCCATGGCCCATATACCTCCTTATACCCCCATGTACCTTCTGTATCCTGGTTTCTTCTGTCTCTACACTGAACAGAAGATAAACGATAATATTTGTTTTCTCATGGATAGTTACACAGACAAACACACTCTTATGGATAGTTGCACAGACAAACACACACACACACTCTCATGGATAGTTGCACAAACATATACACACCCTCTTATACTAGTAAAAACAAACAAACAAAATTTCAACGTACACATAAAGGAATTGATAAACAATGTGCCGTTTACTGTACATTATTCACAAAAAAATATTTTCTTACGCTGCAAATTTTTTATAGTCGTTGAACAAATTGGACACTCAAAGAGTTATTTTAAGATTCTTTGAAAAAGGGATTTTCCATGTATTTTTATTTCAGAACTATATAGTATATAATTCATAATTGGGTTCACTTAAAGGAGCTGTAAGCTTAAGTTTAAGTGACCCTCCCAGCTTTGCCAATTTGTTTATAATTTTCAAAACTGATTATTTTCAAACGTGGTTTTACAAAAGTATCTGGCGCATTTCAACTTACAGGAAAACAGGAATTATGAGAATGAAACAATTTTAAACCTAGAAAAACAACAATATCAGATAAGGGATTTAAGATTTCCGGTGTGAATCGGGCATTGACATCTTTGCATGAAGGGTCAATTGAATTTCCCCATACAGCCTCTTTTAAAGAGAATTTTTTTGTCCACAATAAAACAATTAAAAAAAGTTTTTGTTTATTATTTAAGTTTTCTGCTGTATCTGTATTCTGTAATCAGTACCCTGTAATATACATTCAATACATATTATAAAATATATATAATCTGTCAAACTGCCAGCAGTCTACTACAGACAAATGTTTCAATCCCACATAAGTAAATATGTATATTGTTTGCAATTCTTTTTCTAATGTCTGGGATTCTATGAGTCTATACATGTTTATGTATACTGTCTCCTATACTGTCTCTTGTCACGTCAAACTAAAGATTCAATACTCTTCTAAAGAGTAAGAACGAACTCCTGATGATGCCAGAGTTTTCGGCGAAATAAACTGAGAAGAAAATGATATAATTTTAGCTAGAAAGAAGGGTTGGGATTTGTTTAAAAACGATATAAAGTCAAACTAAATTAAATTGGGTGCAAGATTTAAATCTTATGTTTTCAATCAATAACTCCTCTTATTAAAAAGCTATTAAGAAGAACAAAAATGTTTTGAATTTCTGAAATGTAACCGAACAAACTTGTTTTTTTTTATACTTGTATGTAAATTCAAAACCAGAGGAGCTGCGCCTATACGAGGTCGCAAAGTGATAGCAGAACTGACGCATAAATTTAACAATCTACTTCTGTTCAGTTTGCAGTATAGTTGCAATAAGTGCAATTGTCTTATACATATTTACAAATTTACACTCCATTACCTAAATCCACATATATACAAAATTACACTCCACTACCTAAATCCACATATATACAAATTTACACTCCACTACCTAAATCCACATATATACAAATTTACACTCCACTACCTAAATCCACATATTTACAAATTTACACTCCACTACCTAAATCCACATATACACAAATTTACACTCCACTACCTAAATCCACATATTTGCAAATTACACTCCACTACCTAAATCCACATATATAAAAAATGACACTCCACTACCTAAATCCACATATAAACAAAATAACACTCCACTACCTAAATCCACATATATGTAAATTTACACTCCACTACCTAAATCCACATATTTACTAATTTACAATCCACTACCTAAATCCTAATATATACAAAATTACACTCCACTTCCTAAATCCACATATATACAAAATTACACTCCACTACCTAAATCCACATATATACAAAATAACACTCCACTACCTAAATCCACATATATGTAAATTTACACTCCACTACCTAAATCCACATATATACAAAATTACACTCCACTACCTAAATCCACATATATACAAAATTACACTCCACTACCTAAATCCACATATTTTTTGTTTAAAGGGACTGTGGACAACATTTTTAGAGACACTTTATTTTAAAAAGTTCTAATCGTATTCACTATTCACTATTTATATTTCAGTCTACCTTCAGTCTACTTATACTACACTGATTCATATTTTTCTATATATTTCAATCTACCTATATAACACTGATATGTATTTCAGATTTCAATATATGTTTTAGTCTACCTACCTATATTACACTGATATATACTTCTATATATATTTTTGTCTGCCTGTATTACATTGATATATATTTCTATATATATTTTAGTCTATACCTATATATATTTCCCCTTTATCTGTCGAACAAAGTTTGACAGGTTGAGTTAAATCAATGTATTGTGTGGAAAGCATGATTAAAATTCTAGTTCAGGTTGAAGATGGGTAGAGGGGGGAAGTCCGGAGGGTGGGGATGTGTATTGACCAGGATGTTGATGAAGGTATTTATTTGAAATGGTCACTGATTAAACCAAGTTTTAAATGATTTATATTTAAGTTCATTTTCTAAAATATACGTTTGAGTTCGACCCTCCTTGCAATACAATGCAATGCAATGCAATTGCAATGTGAAAGGTTTCAAGAATCATCGCGATGCAAAGAAATTGAGTCTTTGCCAAAAACTCAATTTTTCTAGCTTTGCAACCTGATGGTTTAATTCTTTGATATTTCATACTGAGATAATTAAATCTAACAAACTTATAGTTAGAAATATCTAAGGTCTAGTTACGAGATTGGGTTCTGAAGATATCGGGGGTTGGAAAATCAGAGTTTGTGGCAAAGACTCAATTCCGTTGGCATTCTCAAAATATCAAATGTCTGGGACTTTATTAAACATGAAGTGATGAATACATTCACATCGGTTTCCGTAAAAGCTTAGTCTGATCAAGTATGAATTAGATATAAATGTTTAAAATTGGAAAACTAAGAATTTTCAAATGCAGTTTTCTACAAAAGTGACTTAATAGAAATAAACACTTTTAAACCTAGAAAAACAAAAATATCTTTAACATTATTGGTCAGATAACGGCTTTAAGGGTACTCCTGTGAATCAGGCATTGCCATATTTGCAAGGCACTGTGATATAAAGGTCTCAACCTCTCAAGCAAAAATCGATGAGAATTTTACCAATTACTTCTTAAAAACTAGAGCTATTAACAAGTGCTTATAGTGCTAAAATGTACATGTAAAAGGCTATAGAAAAGCATAAGTGAGTTAGAGCATGGTAAAATCAAAGCCAAGGCGTTGCAACACTTCAAAGTCGACCCTGTCTTAAAAATTGATGAGACTTTTTAAAAGCAGGCTGAATCTATGTGAAGGAGGTTCACTTGAAATTACGCTTACAGTACCTTTAAATATTAAAGTTGATGAAGTTGGATGGATAGAGAGATAGAAGGCTCTAAACCATTATATTTACAATGGCTAACCTGCATATCATGATAAGAAACATAATCGGTTTAACTAATACCTTTCTTGTTCACATCTTGTCACATATGCGGCTTTTTGTTCCCGCTTTTAGCCTATTTCTAGGCACATGAATCCAGACTTTTTTGGAAGAATTATAAGTTTTTGTGAGACTTATGTCTGACCCAATCCGTCAAATATTTGGTGAGAGGGTTTATACCTTTACTTTGTGGGGTATCTTACGCTAAACTGACCAGAGCTAAACATATTTGGACTAAACCTATATAATCTATATATATATTTATATATATTGGTTAACTCTGCTAAACTGACCAGAGCTAAACATATTTGGACTAGACCTATATAATCTATATATATTGGTTAACTCTGCTTGTTTGTTTGTTTGTATGTATTATAACTTGAAAACATCTTGACCGATTTGCCTGAAATTTTGATTGAGAAAATCGGTATAACCCCGCAGAGTTGTTGTCACACTCCTGTATGCCGAGTCCATTAGCGACTGATCTAATCAGGGTTCAGTCATGTGTTTGTTGTCTATTCTGAACCAATAGAAATAGTATGGTGGTAACATCTATCTTCCAATCTATCTGTTACGCGACGAAATCGTCTCGTCCTGATCAAGGTGCCCCTATTGATGTTGAAGGAATTCTACCGCGCCCCTGAGGCAGACAGTATAAGTTTCGTACTGCATCTTCATAAGAAGCCGGTTTTTAGATTTAGTCAAATGCATTTTATTCGTACAAATTTGTTAGTTACACTTGATACATTGTAGAGATACCTACGTCGTTTTTTCGCTAAGGCACTATTAGGTAATCTTTAGCTTTATTTGTGTATATTTTAAAGACAAAACTAATGCATTATGATTACTCGAAATCTTGAGACTATTACTTCCTGAATCTAGAGTAAGCTTTTGTGAGCAGATTGATTTTAGATACGTTTATAGTTTAAAAATTAGTAGATCTTTGAATTTATATTTAGTTGTGAACCAATAACTTTTGAATATGTTAAATCTAGTAAATCTCGCCATTATGGTATGAGTCAATAACTTTTGAATGAGCAAATATAAGGTAGAAACTTTTAAGTCTTGCTAAGTTCTAGTAATCTCGCTTTTATGATGCGAGTTGATAACTTTTGAGTAAATGTCATAACTTTTAATCTGATTTATTGTACATATTTGATTTCGTATATATTAAATAAATACTTAATATGGTCAATCTTTCAGATTGAGCCGTTTGTTCAGTACCAGAGCGCTGATTTATTCTGAGACGAAGAGATGATAGAGTAGTCGAAGGATTTGTGAGGCTATTGAACGTTCCAATCGACCTGAGCTGAATTATGACGTGGGGAAATACTATTAGGGTTATCCTGATAAATTGATATATTCACGGCCAGTGGTTTGGTCGCGAAACACTATCTCATTATCCAATCAGAGTTATGAATCCTTCTATCGGCGCTATCAGTAAAGGGAAATGGAATTTTAGACAAATCTCTTAATATCTCAGTCAATTCTTAAGGTCCAAAAACGAAAGAGTACATTTTGGAAATACCAAAAGAAGCTTTTAATTTTTTATATAGTAAAGCTTTATTTATATAAGATATTAGCCACTGTATCTTATTTTTCTTAGTCCAGGGCCATAGAATAAAACCTCAAGAACACCAAACAGAGATTTTTTTTTATATCCACAATTTGTAGAGTCTACTTAGCTGTAACAGGTTAAACGCTTTTCTGTAAAATTACATAACTTAAAATTGTACTCTAACACAGAACAGTTTAGATAGGTAGATAGAATCAAATCTATAAGCGGGGCGTGGTTAAACTACTGCTTCATCGTTCTAATTTTGATGAATCAATACCTTTATATTCTCCTGCTGTTGGTACATGAGGCAATTCATAGTAATTTAAAGCAGGAACTAGAAGTTGAACCTGGTTTAAATTTAACAAATTCATAAAATTCCAACTCTAAATTATTGAAACTTTACACGATTAATAAATATTTTTACAATTCTAATCCTTTTTTGTAGCGCACCACAATAGATTCTTCGGACATTTAGAGTTTGTTTTTGTTTGGAATTATCTGATACCGGTGACCAGACCTATACAGGTCTGCAGTAGAATGTGATGCATATTCTACAGGGAGTCCCATTTATCTTGTAAAACCGTTGTCATGAAACAACTAAAAAAATAAATTTGTTAAATCAGCTACTAATTTTAAAACTTTTTTTTGAGAGAAGAAAACTTAGCTGGTTACGTTTAATTTGATCTTTCTTATTTCAGACCTAATGATTTTTTCCGACCGCGTCGGATGCATCAACATTGCACATGCTTTAATAATCCTTTGAAACATCCCCACATAGACATTTGTCCGAAAAACAGAGTGCTGTCAATGTTAATATGTCTCGGCGCGGGTTAAATGTCCGCCGAACAATAACTACTTACAAGATCGCAAGATCGTACCAGTAATTCCGAATACATTTATCCTTTTTCTTACGTCTTTTTCTGATGGTTTTAATCTAATGCAAAGTAAAACTTTAAATTTTGAAAATATATCGTTTTGTTTGTCCCAGACTCCGTATTTCGTTATTACTTTTCATAAAAAATCAATATTTTGAAATTATTTCTCTTATTAGTTTTTTTGAGACACAGTTTGAATTGTTTATTGTTCTTGTATTATTTATATCAGGGTCCTAAAGGTTTATAGGACTACAAACTAGTGAAGAAAAAGGTTGACAGTGCAGACTGAGAGATAAATAGGGGGTCCCAGGGTTCAGATAGATAAACAGATAGATAGATACATATATAGACGTACAGATAGATAGATAGATAGATATATATATATAAATAGACAGACAGATAGATAGATATATAGATATATAAATAGACATACAGATAGATATATAGATATATAAATAGACAGACAGATAGATAGACAGATATATATATATAAATAGAAATACAGATAGATAGATAGACAGACAGATAGATAGATAGATAGATAGATAGATATATAAATAGACAGATATATAGATAGATAGATAGATAGATAGATAGATAGATAGATAGATAGATAGATAGATATATAAATAGACAGATATATAGATAGATAGATACAAATAGACAGACAGATAGATAGATAAATAGATATATAAATAGACAGATATATAGATAGATAGATAGATAGATAGATAGATAGATAGATAGATAGATAGATAGATAGATAGATAGATAGATATATAGATAGATAGATAGAGATAGAGACCAAAAGACCAGAGACCATAAGACCAGAGACCATAAGACCAAAGACTATAAGACCAGAGACCAGAAGACCATATTAATAGATATTAAAACATTTAACAATAACATAAAGTACGTAGATTAGGTAGATAGATATTAAATGTTAAAGTAAAAAGGTATTTAAAAAGCTGATCATAAATCAAGACTTTGTTTAAAAGAGAAATCCAATCTAGACCAGCTTATTTCAACATGTACATTGTACATGGCACACTGTACGCTGTGTGTAAAGTGTACAGTGAATTACGTTGATTTCGTGCATACCACAGTCTGGCGCATGCTTAAAATATTATCTATATATAATATATATACATACATCTATTATCTAGTATTTTCTTTTGTGTGCTTTAATGTTGTTTTCAAAATATCAGGGAAGCGTATTTTCAAAGTTTTCAAGTTTTCAAGTTGAAAAAGAGCAAAAAGTTCAAAGTGTACATCTTGTGTACACATGCTAAAGATGAAATCTTTCAACAGTATAATTGAGTTAAAGTAAAATATATTGCCCTCTGTATAGAGGTATCTATCCACGATAGGACAGGTGCGTTTTAGAGTTCTTTTTTATTATTTCTTAATGCTTTTAGCTCCTAGTTCCCCCGCCACCCCCACCCCTAAACTCCCTGTCAAAACAGTTAAATATACGACCTCAAAAATGTCATTTTTCATTTTACTCTCTAAACTCCAAACTGAGGGGAAATTCAGGGGAACATTTTTTTTAACAAAAATGTTCTTAAAACCTAGCAAAAACTTTTTTACTGTAAAGTTTAACATTATTGAAAAAATGTCTGAAAATTTTTCTTTGTTTTAAAGACCCCCCCTCCTTAACGCTTATGTTTCTTGTCGGAGAAAGGTCATTATTTAAAAACGTCATCATTCTACGGTTGACTTGGTCAAAAATCCCTGAAACCTAGAAAAAAATCAAGCTTAAAAAAACTTTGCAAATATGCAACAACATAATTGTGCAATGTACAATGTACATACAATGTACATAGAATGTACAAACAATGTACATACACCTTGTAGGAATTTGGTTTAATAGGAATTTACTCGACTCCAAATAAAGCTATAAAAACAAGCCAGATTAATCAGAATAAGCAATTAAGAAATGAGTCTTTACCACAAAATCAAATATTCTAATCTATAAATCTTTGAAACCTGGTGATGGAAATCTTTGACATTTAAAACTTACAGAATTTATAGACTGACTTGCCTGAAGTCTACGACTTTGGGTTGCAAAGATATATGGATTACAAAACCTGAGTTTTTGGCAAATATTCAATTCATTTATTCAAGTTCTGGAGGAAATTCTGAACATAACAATTCCATACAACAGCATACAACTGTTTTCCAGCCAGCCTAACTACGTATGTTTCAGAACTGATACAGTTAACACTTCTCTAGTCGAGTCTGATTTATCTATGAATATAAGTGTAAATGTATTGATATGTTCTCTGGTTGAGTCTGATTTATCTATGAATATAAGTGTAAATGTAATGATATGTATGCAGGAAAATATTTTGTGTTAAGTTCTGTTTCTCTTGTTCTCTTCAGTGCAGGGAATTCAATCAAACGTAATTTAGAAATCGTTTAACTTTTAAATTTGAAATATTCGGCAAATATTCACAAAATTGAAATATAAATTTAATCTAATTTAATTACCATTGAAAATATAGTGTATTGCAGGGGAGAGGGAGATTTTATCGAGTTTTGTCTCTATATTTGTTTTTGTTTCAGAATTGGCTTTTGACTCATATCCTGTCTCTGTCTCTATTTCTGTCTCTGTCTCTGTGTCTGTCTCTGTCTCTGTCTCTGTCTCTATCTCTGTTTCTGTCTCAGTCTCAGTCTCTGTATCTGTCTCTGTCTCTGTCCCTGTCTCTGTCCCTGTCTCTGTCTCTGTCTCTGTCTCTGTCTCTGTCTCTGTCTCTGTCTCTGTCTCTGTCTATGTCTCTATCTCTGTTTCTGTCTCTATCTCTGTTTCTGTTTCTGTCTCTGTCTCTGTCTCTGTCTCTGTCTCTGTCTCTGTCGCTGCCTCTATCTTTATCCCTATCTTTGCCCCTGTCTAACATATTGATTAAACTCTCAAATACTTCACATTAAATTAATTTTATGGAAACTAATTCCGACCCTTTCATGATTTCAATTAAACCTTTAACTTTCCCTACCTCACACATTAGACTACTTAAATCAGTTTGGAACTACAGTGCGTACCAGAAAACAAAATTTCAATTAAATAAATTATTTCCATCAAGCATATCTTTGATGCCCTTTAAATGAAATGATTGATGCAACCACTAAGTAAGTGTAAATTAGATTATTCTAGAATTATCAAGAAGATTACAAGCCAATAACAATATATATCTTCTTCAAAATATTTTCATTTAAAAACATCAGATGTTTCTGATTTGTACTTGCTTTATGCTAGACATTTTAAAATTACTAATACTTTCAATATTCTCAATAGCTCTTAAAACGAAAAATTGCATAAATCTTGATTCCTTTAGAAATCGCTAGCTGAGATGATAGGAGGCTCGGACAAAAATTAATTTATTTATATTGAATGTCTTTTGTTTTTGTACTAAAATATTAGAAAGATTAAAGATTTACTTCAAAATAAAAAAATCACACCCCCCCCCTAAATCAAACACCAAGTAATGTTTCAGATTTTAATTATTTTCGAATAGATTGAAGTTAACGAAATCTATTTATTTATCCTACTAAATCTAAATCTGATATTAGTTTTCTTTGTGAGCCTCCAGAATACAAACTAGATTTTAAATATTTGGAATTCTACAAAACGATCTGCTTCATTGTCTATATAAGCCTCAACCCTATCCGAAATTTTGTATTTTTAAAACGATGATAAAATAAAAAGTTTAAAACTTAGAGGGACTTTTGTTGAAATTCAAAGAAAATTTACAATTGAAAATACTCAAATTTTGAAGTTAAAAACATGGATAACTTATTCTTCATTGATAATATAAGGCTCTGAAAAGGGTACCGTTGTGAATCTATAATTAAAGAGTAACTCGAAATTACGTCTACAGTTTCTTTGGAATAAACATCAAATAAAAACAATTTTTTTTGCACTTTTACCAAATACAAATATTTATGCAGAATTTTCAAATCTTTTTAGTAAACTAGTATTTTTCGGGAGAACATTTAGCTTCCGCCACTGAACTCTATATCATTTTATATATATATATATATATAATTTTTTTGCCAGTTCTCTGCGTTTTTTTTTTCAATGAAAAGTCTAAAAAGAAAAGGATTGGTGATATTATAGACCAAAATACGATTGAATTTAAATAGAGGAAACCGTGAATCCAGCCTTCCAGGGGGAAGCGACACATTTGGCTTTCTAACAAAAATATTCCTATTATCCTGATTATTTTCATTCTTAAAAGTTGTTCCGGAATTTCCATACAAGCTGAATATTTATCTTTATGTTAATAAATTAGATTATGTGGATGAATAAAATCTTCAAAGAAATGCCGATAACCCATGCTTATGTTGGCATATGAAGATATATTCTCAAGTGAACTCTTTGTTTCTTGCTTATAACGAACTTTTACAAAACCCTGACACATGAAGATTGCAATATAAGTCCTGTGGGCCCTGAATATACATTTGTTGCAAAATTATTCCCCTGGGACCTTGAAGCCTTTAGGCCTGGATAATATATCAACATTATGCATCGACAACAATAAATATCAGTTAATCAGC